GTTGATGCCAACCATTTTTCTTCTATAACTTCCCACGGTGTTCCTCTTGCTTCTTTACTTTTACTACCACCAAACTACAACCCTTCTGTTGTTGCTTGTACTATATTTGGTCACCAACCTCTATTGAGTATCTTCTCGTTGTTTTTTTAGGTCACAACTTCCAATGGTGGCTTGCCCTTGGTAACCTTTAACATAACTCATTCCATGTCTCTTTTGTTGATTGATCTTGTACATAAACTTAGTCTCTTAGTTAGGATTCTTAGTGGCTTAACTAAGCGTGCATGTTTCATCCTTAACTAGTTGTCTCCTCTAGAGCCCTCCTACTATGTCGCGCCCACTCAGAGTGAGGCACCTTAGATAAGGTAACTTCTCTTTTTCCTCCTTCTCGGTAATGCTTTCCCTCATCGTACCTCTTTGTGCAGCTTCTTGACCTCGAGTCGCCTGAGACTTGACCCATTGACCTCTTGAAATCTCATCAAACTCCCTCTGGCCTTTTTTTGCGCTTCCTTGGTATTGTTCGCAAACTCTCTTTATTACGACCGTTTAGACTCTTCCTCGAATTCTCCAACCTTCATTAGAACTTCTAATGAACGTTGTACTTGCTTGTCTATACCCTGTTGATTGAATGATTTACCCCTACGGCTGGTTCCGAGACTCCCGCTCTTGGCCTTCTAGTTCCCACTTTAGACTTTCTCAATGGATTCCTTGAAATTCCACGACTTTCTGATTCTCCTTGATCATGGTAATTTGCAAGGTCGCCCAACCCCTTCTCATACCTTATCCTCTAGCTTGCGCTTGCAGGTGTATAACATGCCTGATCTAACCTCAACCTCTACATCATTTATCTCGTTGCTTGTCTTGTTCCTTTTAAAGGCTTGCTATCAGCCTAACTCCCCAGGGTCATGTACCCCCCCTTCTCTAGTGAGGTAGTTTATCTAATAGGGTTCCTTTAACGTCATATGGAAATGACCATGCCTCCTCCTCCTTGACCTGTTGATTTCTTGACATCCTTTCATACTCCCAGTAACCTACTTATTTCCTCCTTTGCTTCATTTATACCACCCTAGCTTTTCTTGAAGTCTAAGCTTCCAACTGCTCCTTGTCACCGTGTTGTAATGGCGTTGAGCCATCGACCACAAAAACTGACTAGGGGACTTCTCAGGGTACCTCTTCGTTTCTTGACCCGTTGCCCACTTTCCACTGCTTAGGACCACAGACCCTAACATCATCCTATCATCATAACTACTTGCATCTGGTGATTATACCTCTTCCTTTGGAGATTCATATTTCTCCCCTTTGTTTGTCTTAGCTTATTAGATTATCCTCTTGTTTCCTAGTAGTAAAATCTTCGTACTACTCTTTCAACTCCTCCAAAATCCTTGAGGTATTTCCCTTTCAATTGGCACCTCTTTGCTGGTGCTTGGAGTTGAAGTCCTCACATATTTGATTCTACCTCTACAGACCCTTGCAACGTTCCTCCTTCCTTCTCTAGATTGATGATGATGATCTGTTTGCTAACGTCCGAGTAGTTGGTTTACTAATTGAAAAACTACTATCCATCATGTCGATGAGATACTTGGTCTTGAGAGCCTTTGAGATTCTACTTGGGTTGGTCACGTTTCTTTCATCCTTTCTTTTATACTGATGATCAACAAATGCCTAAATCTCTCATTTGACAAACCATGACATGTTAACCAAATCGCATCCCAGCCTATTCTTAAACAATCGCACCCTGGGATACCATCCCTTCGTGCCGTGCTGTTATAGTTATTCACCTTCATATGATTAGAGTATACTAGAGATCCTATAAACTCTTAAAAGAAGATACTTGACTCGTTTTCCCTTTCCTTTAAAACAAAAGCCTTTAAAACTGAGACCGATATTCCAGTATTCCTTGGAGACCAAGGAACAGAGGAAGACCGGCTGTGATACCAAAATGAAACACCCTAACCCGGCCGGGTACTACTTTTACTAAAATGCCCTTGACAAATAAAATACTCGAATCTTAAATTTTAACTGGGAAAAATTTTCATAAATAAAATACTGAAAACACACACTTGTAGCTTAGAGCAAAGCCCTAACACGTGGGCAAATTAAACTCAAACTTTAAAATCTCAATCTGATCTCCAGTCCATACTCATAATCATAAATGTAAATAACTAACAATCTCTAATGTTGTTGCTACTGAAAACTTTGACTAAGCATCCTCTATGACGCTTATACTGCCCTCCTCTAGCTGCCTGCCCTCGAATTCGCTGCTCACTAAATGCTCTTCTAGCTCTTCCTCTAGCTCTTCAAACTGGTGAGTGAGATGGGGTCAGTCTACGCCCTTACGTTTTAAACTTTCTAATATTTGAGTACTCTGCTTAAACACTTACCTTTAACTGGTGGAAGTTGTTTGTACTTCCAATCTTAAAATCTTAACTCTTAAACTTTGAGGGAGTTGAAGTTACTCTCCTCTCTTAAAACTCAAATCTCGACTTAAATACTTGACCGACACGGGGATCCCTCACTAGCTAGTCCGGTTGCCAACTCATACGTATGAGAAGCCATCAAGGCTTTCCTTAAACTTAAACTTAATTAGGGAAGTCGTAACGATTCATCCCCCTAACATCTTAAACTTATCGTGGTGGCTCTTCACCACGATTCTCAAGGGCATAACTGCTGCCCATCTTAAAAATCTCAAGAGCATAACTGCTGCTCAACTTAAATATCTCAAGAGCATAACTGCTGCTCTGTCTCAGAGATCTCAAGAGCATAACTGCTGCTCTATCTGAAAATCTCAAATGGCAACGGACTGGCGCTAGCGACTAAAAACACTTAAGACGACTTCACCTTCTTGAAGGTGAAGTACTTCTTAAAAAGAACTTGTTTCTTAAACTTTAACAATAACTTATACTCAGGAAAATTTCAAAGTAAATAATAACCATTCACTTCAAGTCATAATTCAAACAAGGCACATATCACCAACCATAATCATGCAATCTCAAACATGAATCAAATACTGCACATACATCACGTAAAGCAATACTCGAAAATACTCAAGGCAAATACTTGAACATCGTAAGGCGTAGAATTTACCCCCTTTACACTCACCTATTTTACTGTTGAAAATTCTAATTCGGATCGGCTTGCTCATCCTCGTCATTGAATCCCATTATCTTGACCTCATCGTGCCGTGTCATCCAGAAAACGTCCGTAGTTAGTAAATGGAATAAAGCAACTCAATTGCAACATGAGTAACCCATCCCACGTTACTCATTATCACCCATCCATAAATTCGTGCACATGAAAATCCTTCCCACCACTATTAACTTGAGAATCCCATCAAGGGTTCATGGGGAAATTTCAAGATCAGGATTTTGCTTCTTCCCCAACGCATCCCCAGCATAGCGATGACGATTATAAAGGGAGGAAAACTCCTTACCTCAGTTTAACTAGGAAACAACAGTCGTGTACATCACCCCATCACCTATCATCATCCACCTCCAATTGGCAGGTCACGTACGATCACCCGCCACCATCTATCGGCTTGAAGCCATGCTTGAACTAGTCCATCAAAGATTCAATCAGCACCTCTATATACGTACAGAAGCACCTCTATATGGATCCATCTCCAACTCCGGTCGACATCTCTCTGGCTCTCTCTCGTTCTCACCATCGCGTTCCTTTTCCACCCACTTGAACTAGCTCTCTCCAATTTTATGATCCACAAAGAGATCGCTTGCACCCTTGGATACAAGACCGGGGTTTAGTTCAATCGTGAGGGAAGGGAATTGACGAGTTGTTTGAGCGGCAGAAGGAAGATGAAAAAAATTGGCTCCTCTTAATGGTGCCGAGAGTGGGGTGGGGTTAATTAGGGTTAAAATTCCTTTTTTTCCTCCTTTAAATAATAATAATAATTATTATTATTCCCAACCCAAAATTGTGACCCTTCGTACGTAACCGTTAATTCAACCTTTTATCAGTTATGGTCGAACCTGAACCCAAAAGTTGGGGTGTAACACCTCATATATCTTTGGAAGAAATCAGAGTTAGAATCACCACTCTGTAACCACATTTCCCTAGATTTTTTCCTAAGGAAGGATTTCTCAACATCTTTGAGCTCTTGCCACTCCTTCTCAAGATGGCACTCTTCCTCAAACAACCTAGCACTTGGATTATTTAAAACATTCCTCTATGCAACCAACACTTCCTACTACTTCTCACACACTTGCCCTCTGAGATTAGAGTAAACCTCCGGACAACTTTCTCAGCAACCCTTTAAGAAATTTTAACTTCCTAAAGACTCTCACCAAAGGAGAGCCAACCAATTCCTGACTCTAAGCTTCCCCAACCAGATCCATACACCGAGGATGAGAGTTCCAAAATTTATAGAACTTGAATGGTTTAGGAAGATACTTCAATATCACATTTGTGTATACCAGAATGGCACAGTAATCAGACACACCAGGCTCAAGCAACCGTACTTCACCATAGAATCAAGGCAAATAAGATTAATGAATGCTCTGTCCAATCGCCTAGCAATCAGATTCTTCTTCTACTTATTCAGCCAAGTGAACCAAGGATCCTCAGCCACATGTTCCTCTTCCTCTACGTCCACCAACCACTCCTTGAATTCAGCCATACTCGACGTGAACACATGCTTATTAGATGCTTCCCCTGGATCCTTGATAATGTCAAAATCTCCCAAAATGATCCAAGGTAATTGAGAGACCTTAAGCAAACCCAAATTCTATAAAGAAAACTCCTCTCCCCATCACTATTGGAGCCATAAACAAAACTTGCAAAGAATGTTTGTGCACCACTAACCATGACATGAATAAATTGTTCTAAATTCCCCACCACCTACAAACTCACATCATCCTTCTAAAGTAACTAGATCTTCCCCAATTCATTTCTATTATATACCACCTTCTCCGTCCAACCTGGAAACCTTCCTCTTACTAACTTTATCGTATCTGCTTTCTTTAGTATAGAAAACCTCTAGTATTCTAGGCTAAAAATTTTATTATTTCTTACCACCCCTACCCCCTCTACCACCCCCTTTCCTCGCCCTCTTCTCTAGCTCAGGCACAACTTTAGGAAAATAACATGATGTAGATTCCAAAGAACCATCCAAAACCGCAAAAGCATTGGATATCAGAGTAGAGCCTGATGAAGCCTGTTGGAGTGATGAATTCCCAGGCTGAACTGGTGGTTTACCCCTCTAAACCTCGTGCATAGAAGCCTTGGGACTAGCAACACTACCTGCCAATCCATTAACCACCTCCACAAAGCTTGTGACTGGAATGCCATATAGTTCTTCCTCAATCCTGAAAGTATTCGACAAAACAGGTTCCTCTTCATTGGCAACCTCAACTTCCTTACTAGACTTAAGATCCTCCACTCCTGGCTCAAGCGTAATCACCTTCTCCCCAACTCTTGCATCCCTATTCACCCATTTCTTATTGCCCATTCTATCACAATTGTGTCCTAACCTCTGACACTTCTTACAAATCAAAGGCAAATTGCAGTAATATACCTCGACTTCTAACGGTGGATAATCATCAAGGTACATCTTGATACGAGTAGGGTACATATACTCCTCATCCAGCTCTACACAAACCTTTGCAGATCCCAATTGAGCACCTACCCTCATACCTTGATCTGTCCACAACGGTGGACCAATCATGCTTGCCACCCACTCAACCCCTTCAACTGAGTTATACTCCATAGGAAGACCCCAAATATGGACCTAAATCGGGAAAACATCAATCTCCGAGGACAAAGGTTGTAACCTAGGCTTCCACTTATGAAAATACATCTAATTTCCCTGATAATGTCAGGGCCCCAACTCAAAAACCCATCTACTTGCTGCCTCCGAAGGAAACTAGAACACCAACATCAATGGACCAAACCTGGAAACCTTGACCTGACCATCACGACCTCGTAAACTATTTGCCCACGTTTGTAAAAAAGATAAGCTCAAAATCGATCCCACAAACTGAACAATCAAACTATTTCACCAGCGCTCCTCCCACTTTGCTTTAAACTCCCATGGAAGACGAAAACAATCCAAGACTTGCTTCGGCGGCCGTTACGTGAGCCGATTCTCTGACGCGACCTCAAGGATCTGTGCTCAGGTCTTCCTTTCAGACGAATACCCCCGTTATCGGCGGAGCCGCCATCAAAATTGCGACAATCGCAAACCCTAAATTTTCAGATCATTTAGAGAGAGAGAGAGAGAGAGAGAGAGATAGATAGAGAGAGAGAGAAAGAGAGAAAGAGAGAGAGATCTCCCATATATTGGAAATTTGTCTCCACTATGCAAAGTTGGACACTCTCCCATATATTGGCATTAGAGAAGGGAAGGATCACAAGCGTGATCTCAGAAGTCTTCCCATTATCTCCAAAATGGTGACAAATTAATAAATTCTTACGCCGACTTTGGCGATCTTAGTAGATCATGGACATGATCTTAAGTTAACGGTCGTGATCGTGAGATCACGGCCAATAGTGTTGCCAAGACCTACTCTCTTTTGATTGTGAACCCTAATGTTTCTTGCGCAAAAGATAAAAGGGCAAACAGGGGTAGTTCACGGCCGTGATCTCCAACTTTCCTAGTGATGAACTTCAGGACACAGTCACAACCGTGATCGTTAAGCTCAGGCATGATCTTCTAACAAACTTCCCTTTGCCTTCTACACTTGCGCCTCAACGCTAAAATTATGTCCAAAACACTTCATTTCTTGCCAAAACCTAAAACTGTGGCAAACAAAGCATCTTAGACTAGAAAGGAGCAATTATGGATACAATTTGTGACAAAATGATCATGATAATACGTAAAAATGGGAGTATGAAAATGTCTAACTTAGGGGTTATCAACAACCCTTTACACCATCCTTTTTAACTCGAATTTTTTTAAAATTATACAAAAGGAATGGGTTCATTGAGATCTACAAATATCACATATCCATGGAAACAAAATTGGGATCAAATATACTAACCTTTACCACCCTATATTAAAGCGCTCATCTCTTATTCCCATTTCCTCCGTCAGTTATTATCATTCACCGACTGCTAACCGCGTATGGTTGCTAAGTGGGATTCATTGAAAGAAACTTACTTAAAAATGCAGACAATAAATGTATTTAAAATTCTTTCATAATATGTAAACATGTCGTGGTTGTTTTCTGAAAATGATAATTGCATTAATAAGTTATTTCTTTTTCTATAAGTGAATTATTTGAATCTTATTATTTTTAAATATATGTAGTAAATCTTTTTCTATGTATTTATATTATTAAAAGGACATCTCTAGTTTTAAATCAGGAGCATAGTATGTGGGCCCTCATTTAGCCCCCCTCCCCTAGAATTTCGAGACGTACGTATAAATCCTATAAATTTTGGAAAATTTCTTATAAAGTGAATATTTAGTTTATATAGCACATGATTGGAAGATTTCTATACGCAAAACACTTGGTAGTCTGATGGAGTGCTTGCTGATTATAGTTTGAAAATTTTGTAAGAAAAATGGCTCATGCTCGAGTCTCCTTTAATTTAAACATTTTTCTTTACAAGTCATGTAATTTCATACAATTTCAGTTTAGTGCTTCAACTTTTAAATTCATATTTAAGGTTTTTTATATATAATTAATGAATTGTTTTCAAGCACTAATCTAGACAAACATTCATTTTTTAGGTATGAAAGTTTTGAAAAACATACTACATATATGAAACTATATTCATTTGTTTGAACATAACATAGTACAAAAATAAGATCCAATTCTATTACGAGTGATTTTAACCCATTATTATAATTAAATACATTAGTTTATCCTTGATTCTTTTTTGTTCATTTTTTTCGATAATTCAAAAAATCAATATGAAACCTCCAAACTTCAAATGTTGGCTCCGCCCCTGATTTCAACTTTTAACTCCATAACTTGGTTGTCCATATAATGTTTCAAATTTTTTGTTTGTTTGTTTTGCTTAAGGTTGTCTTCATTATTTCAAAACAAATTCTCTCTTCTTCTTGTTTCTCTTATTTACTCTCTACATGAGCCATGATTCTAAAAGTTGTCGACGCTGGTTGTCACTGGCGGCGAATTGTCATGCAACATCGGTGGAGTCCAATCATGGGCATCACTGTTCAAGATTGCTTCTAATAATAGACTTGACTACTACAAACTAGAAATCGTGAATAACGCTCTTCATATTCCGATTCAAGCCAAATTATAAACATTTATACCATTTTCATGGCAGTGTGACTTGTGTTTATCATCCTTTGAGCCGTTTTACACTAGGTTTTGCATGTTTGAGTATGGTTAAGGTCTAGTTTATGAAATTGGCAAAAGGAACAAAAGTCAGACAAAAGGGAGTCAAAACGAGACAAAATTGTGAAAAGTGTCAAACCTCAAGGTTAAGGGCATTTTCTCATGGCCATGGTGACTCGCCACAGATACACCGCGAATTAATCCCAGCTAGAGCCCAAGTTTTTAAACTCTAACCGGGTGTAGTGTTTTAATTGTCAAACCCGGGTCGGTCGATGTACCCCTACTTCAATCGCTTAGTTTGTTATCTAGCAAACATTTTTGGTTTTATAACTAAGAAAACTACAAAATGAAAACAAGCAAGAAAGGTAAATCGAGGAAAATTCTATATGAGAGGACCTTACACGGGTATTGCTCCCCTAGTCTCGTGCTAAGAATCAATAAACGAAACCCTAGTGTGAAGGGTATGTTTATATTCCGCGAGGCAGGTGCAACAAGCTAGGAACGAGCCCTCCTAGTCGATCAATCAAGGATTTCTACAATAAGCTAACGAACCTAACTCTCTTAACCGCTTGGCTAAGGATTGCAACAATAAGCTAGGATGCCTAGCCCTCTTAACTAATCAACAAAGGGTTGCAAGACATAACCCTCGGAAGTTAATCCGAATGGAAGAGAGCGACCAATCATGTTGGGATCGTGGTACTACTCCGATACTTGAGGTTTTGGCCCTAGATTAACCCAAAAGGGGTTACCCAAGTGGCTAGGAGATCAAGTTCCCTATGAGCCAAAGGGGGATTTCCACCTTCTAGGTTAATTTGACCCAATAATGAGATAATGCAAGCAACACCAAATCATTCATGATTAATACCTCAAATATTATATAAAACACACAATCAACACAATATAATCAAGTTCTTACATCCTAACACACATCTAGACTAGGATTCACAATACCCAAGTGATTAGGTAGGCTATTCCATAGCTAGGCAAAGGAAAACAAGAAAAGGAGAGAAAGAACCATGAAGAGATGACAATGTTCCTTCCTCTTTGCTTGAATTACCCTTAGAGTGGTAAGAATCTTCACTCCTCTAGCTAAGGGAAAAGAGACGATGAAATGCAAAGTCAAACTATCAAGAAATGAGGGGTAAAATGTGTTTCTTTAGACCCGAATCACTCCCCCACTCTTAGACGTGTGCTTGTTCCCAAGAAAAGCAATTATAAACAAGATAATATCTCAACCTAACAATATAATTTGGGGACATTTCAGGTCCTAGCACATAAAGTGAAGCATAGGCGCAAGTTTCAAGTCAACCGATCAATTGGCGATTAGGGAGAAGAAACTTGGGCATGACCTGAAGAAGAATGGATTTCTACCTCACTTTATAAACAAAGAATCATGCAAGCTTGTCATGAAAAGAAATAGGACGAGACTACGAGCGTCTGGGATCAAACTCCGACTGATTCGGAGTCCGGACGAGGGAGAAACAAAGCATTGAATATAGGGGAACAGGTTCGGCAGTAAAAACACGGGCGTGCCTAAACCAAAACACGGCCGTGTACACAAATAGGCACGCCAGTGTTTTTATGGCGAGAGCTGAACTGATGGAAAAGCAAAACACGGGCGCGCCTAAACCAAAACACGGTCGTATCCATATTTAGGCACGACCGTGTTTTGGTAGACGCGGGCGTGTTTTTTACACGGGGCAAAGCACGGGCGGGCAGCAGCAAAGCACGGGCGTGCCCTCGACCGTGTTTTGCCCAGGGTCAGCCTTTTAGGCAGATTTGAGCCAAAGGAGAAGGAGTTCCGAGTTTTAGAGACAGAGCGATTCCTAGAGAGAGAAAGCGACGAACCAGAGTTTCCAAGTGCCCTAGCTTGATCTTCATCACCATTGGAGCTCGGCGCACACTTGGAGAAGTGCCGGTTGAGCGCCAGAATCAGATTATCATCCTTCACAGTATGGTTTCCGCATCTGAGCTAGATTTTCCATCTCTCTCCATGGAGTAGTTTTCCCATTCATCTGGGTATGGAGAACCCTAGATTTGTATGTTAGGTTTGATTGTGTGAACCCAAGTACAGATTCTATGATTTGATTATATTCAATTGAGGCTTGAATGATTGAATGACTTGAATCCTGATCAAATTCCTGTTATTTCTACTTTAGCCTAGAAAGAGAATATCTGCCTAGGTTGACAGAGCACCCTTAATTGAAGGTAGTGAATTGGCAACTTTAGTCGAGGAGCCAATTCACTATTCTGTACCGAATTTACTTCGGTAGTGGAGGTTTGGTTCGTTAGGGCCTCAATCTGTTTACTCCGGTGGAGGTTAGTCACCCGCTGGGGACTCAAATTGAGAGGGTTTGGAGACCTTTAGTCGAGACTTCAGACTGTTTAAGAACCTCCCGCAGTATAACTATCATTAAAACTGAACTTGGTAAATTGCAATCCGACTTAACTGCAGTCTAGGGGGAACCATGTTCGGCTGACCTCTCTCGACTTGAAAACAACCGTTTAATTGCTTTTCTTGTTTGAACTTGCACTAAAGTTTCACCACTAGATAATAAGAATTCACTTAGTAGCCATCACATCTAGGACCGGGGTTGACAATAAAACCCAAACATGCTATACTACACTTTAGGAAGTGGTTACACTTGGTCATTTTCTAGGGTGACAGTAGGAGTGAGTCAGAATCACAAACCTCTTAACCCTGAATGTCGACCATTAAGACCCGTCAAATTTGGAAAAAATCCAACTCCCAATATCTGACCTCGAACTATCCAGTTCGTCCTCGTCCACTATCTCATCTGCACATGTGTGCATCAACTGTCGAGTCTTATAAGACCAACCAT